CGTCGATCTCACCAGATGAGGACGGATGAAACTCGTTGTACTGCAGCCGGTTAGATTTCCTCCCGAAACGAGGGAGGAAGTCCCGTGGACTGCGTCAACATGAATATCCTTTAAAATCCAACCGGCTGCAGTACAACGAGTTTCATCCGTCCTCATCTGGTGAGATCGACCAACGAATCTCTCACTTTCATACAAAATGAAGGTCCCGCTAACAAAAATTCCTTAACCGTTATCGAATATAGGATTTTATGAAGGGGAAAATGAACAGTATTAAGAAAAAAACATTAAAGTTGAAGCATGCATTTTGTGACTTTTTTAAGGCTTATTGAATCTTCTATACTTGTTATAAAAAGATCCAAGTTATATTAATAAAACAAGATCCAGGTCTTGATTTCAATTTAGCAAGTATTATGTCCTTTGGGAAAAACGCACCCTCTCTTCGACGGCCTAAAGCTCCACTTGGTGTGGTTGGAGATTGGATTGTTGGGCCTACTGCTCCATTATTTCCCTGCCCTCCACTCGCAGCAATATTTCCACAAATGCTGGCGGTGTCCCCGGGATTTCCTGGAGATACGAGAGTTTGCGTGATAACTGGTAGACGACCACGTATTAACTCAAGCTTAGCAGGGCTTGGAATAAAGCAGTATGGAGTGCCAATTTTAACGAGGCGTCCTATCCACCAGTGGGAACTGAAACGAATTTTGATGTGTAAAAAGTCCTTTATATTAAAGCTGACCACCCTTGAAGGAACTGGAGCATCGAAACCGTGAAGAATCGCATCAAATGATATGTTAGTTCGAACAGAAAAGGCAACCGGCTTTGTCTGTAAAAGAGAATAAATGTTATGAGTGAAAGCAGTTTTATTATTCCTGCAGGGTTTAATGTAATTAAATTAGAATCAGGACTTGTACACCTGTCTGTAAAACATGTAGCGCACTAAGAAAGATCTAAGCCTAGTTAACAAAAAGGCCATAAGATATAAGCTTAATTTTGTCATATTTTATACTCCAACAATTATTTTTAATTGTTTGCATAAAAACTCGAGTGAACGAAAGTAGGCATACTGTACGATAGCAAATAAATCAATTATATAATCGTTACCATCGGAAACCCATGGGAAAAACTTTTGATTTAATAATTGTTCATCATATATTTCGAAATATATAGACACCTAAAACATATACATCGCTATGACTTGATTTAAGGCAAATTTCGTAAGGCTTATTCGATTAACTTAAGCAAGATGAATTTTAATATATTAACTTTTCTGTAAAATCTGTAAGATAGTTGCATTTGAGATTTAAAACCTAAAACTGTAGTTAATTTTCATCTTGAGCATTACTAATTACAAGAAAGGCGATTGATAAAAACGAAGCGAATAATGAAAATGTCAATTCATATAAGTTAACTGATTTTAAATTGGTAGAGGGTTTAACAGAGTTCCCTGTAATTTAACAATAGCTACAACTATTTAGAAAAAGCATTCCTATAACTCGATGTTTTTCTAATCGGAACATGCAAAAATAAGATCATTTTTCTTAGGGCGTAAAAAATGGTAAGATAAAATCAATATGAGCAAGTTCAGAATAATTGATTGTAAATGTCTATCAACGAAAATATAGAGGCATACTCCAAAAATATTTAACTCCTAAATATTGAAGGGAATTGTTATTATATTTGGTTAAAATTTGGACCTCATATATGCAAAACTTAACTAAAATCTCGAAGTTATGAAGATCAAGATGATTGTATGTTTGTTATTTTAGTAACTGAAGCATTTCTAAATTATCTATGATAATAATTCACATGTAAGCTAGTGTAGTTAATAATCCTAAAGCTGTTAAATAAATTATGCGAGAAAACACGATCAGGCAAGTTAACTCTATTTGGAAGACCGGTTGCTGCATTGTTAATCTAATTGATTTAATAGAAACTCTAGGTGGATACTTTCTAATATAGTATAATATTAGTATATATAGCATAAGAAGTACAAAAAAACCATACTATCAATAATACATCTGTGAATTAAAATCACAAATAGGAAGTTTATCTATAATATCTCTAAAACC